TTGAGTGCATGGCAGAAAATATTTAAAAAAAAAGCTGCGTTTTGTTACTCAAATGGAATGGGGCTAAATAGTAAGTTCTGTTTTAAAGCCATTTTTTATCCAAACATTTTTATAATTTATTCAAACATACCTTGACGTATAGGAAAAAAAACATAAAGATTCCTAAACACTAAAACTGCATTCTTTGTGCCATTACTAAATTATAATTGGCAATGGGTCTTTTTATAATGGTTTTATTTGAGCTACATTCAAGGTTTCCCACCTTTAACTGCTGAGTTAAGTTAATGTCAAAGCATCTTTAAAATATCTAAGTCCGGACTTTAACTACCGGTAGGCTGCATCAAAACCCTGACTTGGGCTTTTCAAGACTCAGAAATGAACATGTTGGTGTGTTTTGACCCATTTTATGCCTTAAAACCTATGTTTATTTAAGCTTAAGGGTGGCCAGTCTAGTCCCTATCACTAAGAAACACATTCATCTTCAAATAAAGCAATATCCACCAAAGGTTTTTCCTGATAGTGTTTAGAGAGTACTTTTTAATCCTGAAATGAAGTCTTATTAAGGATACATAAATCACTGTTGTGCACCATCTGCTGGCAGCAGCTATCACGTTTTCATCTAAAGCAACATTGCCAAAATTGACGCTGCTATTGTAAGAGTCAGTAGGCTATCCTGCAATGCCTTGCAGAAAAGTGAAAGCTGGGACTGTTAGAACACCTACTCTATCTACAGGGGTCCAAAGTTTGAGCAAAACAAAGCCTGGAACAGAAATAAAATATAAAATGCCAATAAGGCACAATGATTTATTTTTGGAAGAGTTTTGTATGCAACCAGGCTGAGCTACTGGTATAGACATTTCTAAAGTTAACTAAAGCCTAAAGTGACAAGGCCCCAAGAATGGATTAGCAAACATTCACTTTGCAGATTCATTGTCAACCAAGTCCTCTGAGTCCCAAAGCAGCAAAGCACACCTTCACAATACCACAACCACCATGGGTATTTTTTCTTTCTAAAATGCTAGAATAGTCTAGTTTATTGTTTAAAGTAAGGAGAAAGCAACTAAAACATATTTTTTGATTTTTTTTTTAGATCATCAAAATATTTTGGGGTCTTTGTCTTTTTGGTTTTGACCATCCAATGGATCCTTATTTCCCCAGTCTCTTGTTACATTGGGTTTTCTGCAGGTTCATATCTATACTATGTTCTCTATTTATGGATAACAGCTGTCGGTCTTGTTCACTAGAGTTCCAAAGTCAAGAAAATGTATTTGTATTACTCTACAGATAGAGATACATATTAATGACATAGTTTTTCCTATGGTATTCAATTTCCTTAAATTAAATAATTATGTATTTTTAAGGAATTTTAGCCAGTTTAATGTTGATAGATTGGTTCTTTTTAAATGTTTTTATTTATTTATTTAATAGTTCTGAAACTAATCATGCATAGTGTGCCTTGTGAAATTGAACAAAAAAAATGTGGCCTAGTCCAGTTAATTCACAATTGGGCAAGAAACCATCATCGATCATATTTTAATATCAGCTAAATATATCTCGAATTACTTTTCCACTAGTGAACTAAATTACTTAATTTTAAAAATTTCTATATACCTGGGATACATTTGTCTGATATCAATTGTCTAAAGATCTGGAAAAAAAAATCAGAGTGGAAAGAAAATGAGAAAATCTCTCAAAACACAACACTGTGATTAAATACAATCTGACAATATTTAAAAGTCTTGTTGATCGGTAATGACATTCCTCTTTTTGTGTATAAAATGTGCTGATATATATACAAGTTCAATTTTACATTAGTTCTATTTAGATGTAAAGAAATCCTCCGTTCTGTTCACACTGGAGCAAATAGGATTATCAAAATCCAATTAGAAAACTTAATCGAGGGCAAGGCATAGAATACACAGATCAGAAAACATAGAATTATAAAGTTCACTTTTTTCCTTTCTGCTCATCCTCAAATTAAAACAAATTTAGCTATGGTAGAAGTAGGACTGAGTTTAAAATGTATTTTACCTGAACTGTTTGAAAACAGGTTTGGAAGTAGAAGCATTCTGTAGCCACTTTATGTTGGTTCTGCTAATAGCAGGTATTAAGGTAAGATATTGGCTCTTTAGTGCAGTAATTAGGACACATTCATTGTAAGTGTTGCTCATTGATCTTTAGACAAAACACGCACGTGACTCAGGGCTGATCCTCATTGAAAAGCAGCTCCAGTTCCATCTACTTTTCCCTGTGTTTCCCTGATGTTCATCCAGTGATGCTTTATTTTCTTCTTTTCATAAGTGCATCCCTGAGACTTAAATTAGGCCCTGAGAGTATCGGCAGATCAACAGCCTCACTGCAGGTGTATGCTGATGGGCATTTTTGTGTCTCCTTTCATCAGAATAAAACCTTTTCTGACTGAGAGCTCTGAGTAAAAAGAGAGATGAGTGAGTTTAAGTCCATCAACAGCAGGATTCAGCACTGCATTCTGCTCTAACCACCTGTGTCTATTAGACAGAAGAGGTATTGACCACCATGCGCAGCAAAACGAAGATCAAACCGAGTTACAACAGGGACGCCTGAGTTCCTGAAAACAAACTGGTATTGATCTTTGTAAGCTGGTTGAATAAGCAGCATACATGAAGCTGCGTTGAAGGTTCAATCCAATGTCACAATCCTGCACCTCCTCCTGTTCCATTTTACTGCTTGTTTTCACAAACAGAAGCTGCCTTTTATTGACTGTTTGGAGTTTTTCTGAGGAAAGGAATTCCACTTTCTCTGTGCAGATAATATATCAGCTTCTGCAAAATTGACCATGTAAAGCACTATGGAAAAATTACAGATGTTTCCTTTTTGTCATGTTAATAATTTGGTTTATTGGAAAATATGTATCATCAATAAATAGGTAAATGATTTCCATACAATTATCCCTGTTTTTCAAGGAGAAAAATCTAGCAAAACAACCTGACTTGAAGAATGTAAAACGATAACTTTTTTAAAAACAAAACTTTACTTTTGATAGCTACATTTTTTTTTTTATCATTTAATTAAATCTTGACTTTTCCTTTCACACAGACCAAGCTTGTGGAGTGAGGCTGTAACATGTTCCTTCTTTCTCCCACCTGCAACTAGTCCAGGATTTTACAAAAAATACAAAGTGGTGATGGATCAGCAATATAAAACATTTTTTTGTATCCATATAAAGTTTCAGAAAACATGTAATGTAAAACATGGCAATGGTTTGCAGCTTCAAGGCCTTTACAGCTTGCTGTTAAAGACAAAAAGACTGGCCAGAAGGCCACTATTTTGAACCTCAGACTGTTTAAAGTATAAAAGTATAAAGTAAACTTAAAAAAAAAAACAGACAGATGCCACTATATGAATTGAAAGCTCAATTTTTCAACTATATTGAAAAATTCTTTGAGATAGGGCCAAAGATGATACGCTCTCGCCTGTGTCCGACCTTTCTGACATTTCAACATCTTTTGCTGAATCCTACATTGTAGCATGGTATAGACAATTCACGTTTAACGTTTGAAGAACACCTGCTTGTTTCTGATGATTTCCTTTAGCTAACCAATGAGGGTTTGCGTTATTTGACTCATCCAATTACACTAGTTTTCACAAGATGTGGATGGCGCCAATGATCTGCAATGGATGGCACACATGACGTGAAATAAATATTTATAAGTATTAAACCAAAGCCAAGAGTAACGAGTAACATTTGTTTTAAAAATGTAAGGAATAGAAAGTACAGATACTTGTTAAAATGTAATGAGGAGAAGTCAGAAGTAGGAAGAAAAATAAATAATAGAGTAGAATAGATACCCAAAAAGTGTACTTAAGTACAGTAACAAAGTACTTCGTTACTTGACTCCTCTGCCCAAAACAGAGGGAGAGGTTTGGAATGGGTCTAATAAAAAAATAAAAAAAAAGAGAAGAACAAAAAAAAA